ATGAGAGATGTGACTTGCTAAACAAGTGGTGTGATCAGTCCAAAGGGCCTGGTACCTAAGTGAGGTGAGAAGCTATCAATCAGTGACCATCTTTTTACTATTTGGACAAATCTTCTCTGCTTTGCCCACTGCCCTCTTGTGATGTGTCTTCTTGCAGGCCCAGTCTCTGACTTGCAACTGCCTTATCTGGAGGGTAGCACTGTGACATCAGAAAGAACTTGGTGAATAATCTAACAGTTACATTCTTGTTCATTTGCATTCAGCAATTTTTAGTTTAAATGTCATATGCCAATTGTCCTAACTTTGTATCAGAGCTGCTTTTTAATTTTTGATGACTGCATATCTCTAGTGTTTGGCCCTTAGCAAATGGCTTCTCATTTTCTGTAGCATCAGAACTCCAGCCTGCTTGCTGCATAGACAAATTGGATATAAAAATCCCCAGCGCACAACTCAGGCTGAGAATGTTTCCTCTTAAAAAACAAAAGTTATTAAGATGTTACAACTGAAAATTTAAACTCTTTGCAGTTTGGAAATTCTCATCTAATCCAGTTCAGGGCAACACAACTTCTTGGTGTTCATTGTCTTTCATACAGATTGTATGAACAGATTTTTAACTGAGATTTGAAGTTAGATGGTGAGTTGATGAGGCAAAGATAAATAATTAGTAAACTGCTTAAGGAATTACATTGGAGAAGGCTCTTGTACCTGTAATAGCACAGTTGTATGAGGAACAGAGAAGAGAGAGGATGAAAAAGCATAGAAGGAAGTAAGGGAGATAAGTATATTTCCATATATATAAAGTCTATCTCATAGAACTGGAAGGGACTCTGAAAGGTCATCAAGTCCAGCCCCCTGCCTTCACTAGCAGGGCCAAGTATTGATTTTGCCCCAGATCCCTAAGTGGCCCACTTAAGGATTGAACTCTCAACCCTGGGTTTAGCAGGCCAATGCTCAAACCACTGAGCTGTCCCTCCCGATGAGGTTGACTGGCGTAAACCCTTGGAGATTATTTAAAACAATATAAATTTTAAATTGGATCCTGTCATGATGGGGAAGCTGATGGAGTTGTCTAAGGGTGTGGGTGATGGGATTTGTACATGAGAAAATGGGCAGCAGCATTCTGCACATGCTGGAGTATGGAGAGTTGAGGGAATGATTACAGAAAAGGGAGTTGCTCTAGACAAAGTGAGAGTGTACCTTTTAAACCTTATTTTTAGTGTTTAAACTGAAAACAGAGTTAAGAGTTAATCCTGTGGATCCGTCTTGTGAGTAGTGCTGCAAAGAAAGTCACGTTTTACTCTGTTCTTCCACATGAGTGTATCGCCACTGCTTTCTTCCATGAAACAGTCTCTTTGTGGTAGGAGAGAGCATATACAAATATTTATTTAGAGACCTCACTCTTCTCCTGTGATCTTTCCACTAGCTCCTAATCTACTTCTGAGGCCAATTCAAGACCTGGGTCTTCTCTCCAAAGCCATCAGTGGGTGGGAACCTAGCTACATCAGCAGCCACATCTCTGTTCATGAAGACAGCTGTGCTCCCCTGGGACAAATGCTCTTCTGATTGCAACTGGCTGTCACACCTGGCTTGCCCCCTCTGCACTCTGACCACTCCTGAAAGAGTCTCATGCTTGTGTTAATGCATAGCCCTTTGGGACAGCAGCACTAGGGTGAAACTGAAAAGGACCAACCCTAGTGGGTGTTTGGGGAAGCTTTGAAGAAGCAGCTGTGTGTGGCTGAGTGAGTGATGGACGCTTTGTCAGCATATGGTATGTTTTCAGTGAATGCTAATGATCTCTGATGTTAGTGCCGCATCCCTAGGTGGGGAAAGCCCTTTTGATGGGAGGGTCTGTGCCTGTGGCAGGTATTAAGGTGTCATGTAGCACAGGGGCCTTCAGGTGCCAGCAGGTAGATGTTTAATTGCCAGCTCCTGAGTAAAGCTTGTTTGTAGTGTGGGCAGTGCTGAGAGCTTTTGTTTATGAGCTGAGAGAAGGGGATGGCTGCAGCTGCTATATAAATAGCTCTAACAGGCTGGGATCTAGGGAAGAGAGATTGGGTTGCTATGGAGATTGATCTGAATCAGATTACCTGTGGCTCTTGTTCTCCAGCCTGTGCTTGTGTAGTGGATGTGTGGCTTTGCATGTGCCGGGGAGCATGCTGTGATCAAGAACTTGACTGAAGGGATGGAACAGAGGAAGGAAGCAACTCCCTGGCCAGTATTTGGCAAGATGGTGAAACCATTCACTAGAGCAACCAAGAGCTTTAATCATTCTGGCCTCAGCCCTGTGAGGCAGGAACAACATCCCTATCTGTGGGTGTGTACCATTTGTTTGCATGTATATGATGATTCTGTTTCTGGTAGTGTGTGTGGAGGTTATGAAGAACCTAGCTGCCTCTGCTCACTAATGACATGGTGGCAAGCTAACCCCTAGAGAAACAGTGACTCATAGGTGCCAAAGCCAGAAGGGACCATTATGATGATCTGGTCTGACCTCCTGTATAACACAGGTCATATAGTACTTTCCCAAAGTAATTCCTGGAGCATAGCTTTTAGAAAAACATCCACTCTTGATTTAAACATTGTCAGTGGTGAAGAATCCACCATGACCCTTGGTAAATTGTAGCAGTGGTTAATTACCCTCACTGTTAAAAACGTACGTGGATTAGAGAATTGACTTCTGAGTCTAGAGGGTGTTTGTAAACCAGTTTGGTGATGCTGATAGTTTGGGGGTCAGGGGAGAGAATATCTTCGTGTATTAAAGATGCCCTTTTGGAGGATGTCCGTGGCTTGCTTGCTTACTGAGTCCTCCTAACTGGACTGCTCTCCAGAATGATTTCAATGAGCTGCTCTTGTTACTGATGAACATCATCTCACATTTCATTCTTTAAATCATTTTAATTTGAGTTCCACTGTTAATCTGCTCCCTCTCCACTGCCTTCTGGTTAGGTGGAAGGTTCAAGTAGTCAGGATGTGCCTTCTGCCCTGTCAATAAGGACGTTTTCCTGCTTTAAGGAACACTTGTGCTCAAGGCTCAATGTTGTTAGATTCTTTTTGCTATTGTATGTCTTTCATTGGGTTTTTCTCTTGCTTGGTACTGTGCCTGCTATGGTCCAGCTGCACAAGACAAATGTATTGCCGCTATCTATGTCAGGCATGCCTGCAGTGCTTCTAAAATGCATCCTGTCCACATACAGACCTGCACCCAGGTATTGGTATCTTTGTTAGGAGTACATATCCTTTGCCTGCATTGTTGCCCTGAAAGGGTGGAGGGCAGCACCAAGTAAAGCAGTTGCACTGGTGCAGCAAATCCTTCCAACTGTGCCTTTAGAGACTACTTTACATTCTGCAGGCTCCTCAAACTGACCCTAGAGCACCTAAGGTCTATACTGGGTTGTTCTCAGCTCAGCTGCAGAACTGTGACATAAAACAAGAACTATCTGTTCCATGTACTTATTTGTTAATGTTACAGTAGTACCAGATGCCCCAAATGGATTTGGGGCCCTATTGTACTGGGCACTGTTTAAATACAAAACTTCTATTAGACAGACTATTAAATGTTAGTACAAATGTTGTATGCAGCCAGAAATGAAAACTCTCACACGAGAAATGAGTTTGTCTTCTGCTTCTGTTAGAGATCATTGCAAACAAATGCCACATCAGTCAAACCAATGGGGAAAATAACTACATGAAGTGCACTGACCCACTTTAAAACTACATCCTCAGATGGGAGTTGCTGGAAAGAGAAAACATAACTTGGTGAAATGATACTAAAATTACAAACACACTCATTGGGCAAAACTACCTCACACTGAGTGAATGTTGCATCTCTAATGCCTTCTTCCTCCCTCTTTGAATTATGTGGGGATCACTATCACACATATGCAACTAGTTAGTCAGTACCTATCTCAGGATGCTCAAAGGGTGAAACATGAGAGACAAGGAACCTTAGTTCAGTTGAAAATTAGGGATCAAAGCTTCAGGCCCTGCTTGACCAAATTCTTATTGAAGTGATACGGCCTGTGTCCCATTTTTAGGATCAGGTCCATAATGTGCAAATAAGAAAACATACACACATTCACAAAATGACACATATAATAGTGATCAGGGTGCAGGAGGATTCATCCTAATCAAAGAGATTGCTGGCTCAGTTGTCTGTGGCCAAGGTGTTTATAATATTGCCAACTCTTGTATTTTTGGGGTCGGTTTTACCTGTCTTATGAAAACATGATGAAAGGCTGAAAACTCATGAATATTCGTATTTATAGTAGCCACCATCCACTCTTACTGTCAGGCCAACAAGCTTGCCACCATTCCCCTATGGTCTATCCGCATGTGGAAGTAAGACTGCCCTTAATAAAGTTGGCCGCTGCCTTTCCCTGTTTTCAGTTAGATTGAAGCCATGCCCACGGGTAAAATGGCTGCCATTGTATGGTTCAAGGAGCTAGCCAGGACAGAAAAACTGTGAGGAGCAGCAGAGAGACTGTGAAAGGCTGATAGAAAGAATGAGGGGGAACAGGATTAAGGGGTTGCTAGGGAATGGGGTCTAGGGAATTTTCAATTGCAGGAAGGAGGGTGAGGGACGTGCGGAGGGCAGTGATGGGGGTGGGATCTGGAGGGGATAGAATGGCAGTTCCTCCAGCTTTGGGTGGCGATGGAGAAGGGGAGTCCCTCCAAGAAGCCAAAGGAACAGTGTTGCCAACTCTAGCATACTGGAAAAAAGGGTAAACGGTGACGTGGCAAAGTTTGCAGACAGGACAAAATTACGCAAGATAGTTAAGTCCAAGCCAGACTATGAAGAGTTACAAAGGGATCTCACAAAGCTGAGTGACTGGGCAACAGAATGGCAGATGAAATTCAAAGTAGTGCACATTGGAAAACATAATCCCAACACTACATAGAAAATGATGGGATCTAAATTAGCTGCTATTACTGAAGAGAGAGATCTTGGTATCATTGTGGATAGTTCTCTGAAAACATCTGCTCAACATGCAGTAGTCACCAAAAAAGCTAACAGAATGTTAGGAACCATTAGGAAAGGGATGGGTAATAAGACAGGAAATATCATCATGGAGGAGGGAAGATATGATAGAGGTCTATAAAATCATGAATGTAAGATTCACAGATCTGGACCACCCTGGAGATAAATGGAACATTCAGAATAGAAATGGTAATTGACATCCGAAGACCTGAGTTTGTTTCATTAAGAGGAATTTCCCATGCTCTGCCATAGCATAAATTGTTGTGCTTTTCCCTCAAAATATACTTAGAACAACCTGTAATTTAGGAAAGTGGAATTGAATTATCCTGGCTCTGGAAGTTGTCTCAACTGGAGGACTTAAGCATTGGGGCATTCCCTTACTGCCAGTGACTGACAGGTCTGGTTCTGCTCCCGAACTGCAAGCAGGCTGAAGTATCCATTGTAATGGATCTGTGGATCTTATTTACTAGAAGAATTTTTTTTTTTTTTAGATAAACATAGATACATTTTCCCATTGTGTATTATAAACCAAAATAAATAATAAATGCTTCCTTCCTGACTGAAACAGTCAGGGAGGGGCATGTGTGCAGATGTTGGACAGGAATAAACTATTGGGACTTTTAGGAGAACCCAGTGTAATATTCTAAGTGGGATATCTCAGAATAGGAGAAAAATCCTTCTTGATTCCCTCCCCCATCTCACATACCCACTTTGTGTGAATGAGTATATCTTTTGTTGTAGTTATGTGCATAGATAGGTTCTTCTGAAAAAGAAGAGGCAAAACTCCAGAATATGGTGCAGATCTTTCTGCCAGGAGCTATGCTAGCCTCTAGGTGAGTGTCTACACTGGAATAGAAGACCTGTGGCATGGCTGCGGTTGGCCTGTATCAGTTGACTCTGACTCACAGGACTTGGGCTGCGGAGCTAAAAATTGCTGTGTAGACGTTCGGGCTTGTGCTGTAACCTGAGCTCTGGGACACTGCAACGGGGGAAGGTCTTGGAGAGTGTCTTATCTCCTGTATCCAAAGACCATACTCAGAAAAAGTATGCCAGTGTTAAGCACGTGGGACAGAGCAACCTTCAAGGAGAGCAGTCCCTCAGTGTCAGACTTGCTGGTCTCTTGGAGCCAAGAACTCCTCCCAGTTCAGGTCCAAGAGGCCTAGAAAGGAGAAAAAAGGAGAAGATTCAGATCAGGATCTGTTGGCTTCCCCAAGTCTCAGTGTCTTTAGGTCAGAACAAGTCAGCCAGATCTAGGGCTTGGAGGAAGAACAGCAAAACCTCTCCAATAGGCCTCATTCTGTCTCCAAGGAAAAGCACCAAGCTTCCATTTTAACAGAGAACTTAGTAGTTAAGCACTCTCCTTATCCTCATCTGCAGAGAAGAAAGACCTCTCAGACTTCAACCTTGAACAGAAGGCGAGAGACACCCAGGAAAAGCTTTCCCCTCCAAACAGCGTTATTCCCAGGCTCCTAAATGCTGTCATCATCCTACATGTGAATAGCAGTACTCTATACATCTCTGAAGAAGCGGCGAATTGTAAGGAATGGGAGACAGCCAAAAAAGAAAGTGCTTTTCTCCAGTTTACCAAGGAGAACCCTGCATCCCTTTCATCTGGTTATGGTGTATTGTGACCATTGAGAGTGTGAACAATCAACCAAATATAGAAATTCTGAGGCAGTCACAAAATTCTACACAGTACTTAAATCTAAATCTGCCTTTGTCACATTTCCCCAGGTTGATATTCTCTGCCATCATGGCACTATTAAACTTAGTTTATTTTTTTATGTATCTATATTTTTAGTTTTCATAATGCTGCAGATTGTTTAGGTTTGAGTTGACAACTCAAATAAGACAGTTCACACCTTTAGGAGCAATGGTTTCAGGCTGTCTGCAGACTCAGACAGACTGCATTGTATTATTTACACTTTACTCACTTTTTTGAGGTTTTAATTGAAACCATGAGGTCTAGGAATATATTTTGTATATGAAAGCTCAGATTTTTGGAGCACAGTTCTACACTAGGTGAATTCTACAGCCATAGCATCCCAGGTGCTCTGGGATCGGTGACAAATAGCACTGATAATTTATAAATAACAAGGCGTGCCAGACAGATTTTTCTTAGACTGAATGATAAAATTAGTGGAGGAAGAGGCTTGAATTGTGAGTGAAGGAGTGAGTGGGGGAGATAAATAAGAGTAATGGGATAGAATAAAGCAAAAGAGAATATAGTTTGAACACCAGGAAACACTTTTTTGCTACAAGATGCATTAAGGTGTGAGAGAGGCTTACAGAGGAAGTGGTGGGAACCCCATTGCTTGGGACTCTTATGGCTGGACAGAGCCATGGAAAAGATACAGTAGGGAACAGTCCTGCCCTGGCCTACATGTAGCATTGGGACCTCAGAGGATGAGACCTAAGAGGATTTTTCTTATTGTTACCCATTTTGACCTGAACAGTTAGTCAAAATTCAGAGTTTCATGGGTTGCTTCCACTAGGAATCTGATATTTCTTTAATGCACTTCTGTTTATTTATAAAGAATGGACAAAAATGTCCTGTTTCCCTGAACACAATAGGAATAAAACAACAGGAGGCAGTTTCTTTGTTCCTGTTTCCAAGCTTTTTTCCAGTGAGCACGCTACCCAAAAGCACACTTTCTCTCTCTCAGGTTTTTCCCAGCATGACATGCCACAAGTGCTTCTCTGGTTTTGTCTGGGGCTTCCTTGATGTCTTATCTGCGAGCTTTTGGGGTTTTTCAGCTGCTTCTCTCCACACATACACAAAACTCCCTCAAACAATAACAGCTCCCTGCTTTTACATTCAGACCCCAGGAAAAAACCCTCAAATACTATGGTTCAACTCCAGCTTCAGCCTTGTAGGCAGCCTGTGTTTTGGGTAGTGGCTCCTATTGGTTTCCGCTATCTGTTCCGTAAAGGAACATAATTGCTTTTTACATTTATCCTGAACAAAGGGCGGCCGTTACGCCCACCAGCTTCAACAATGTTTCACTCAACTCCCCATATAAACACTACCTTTAGCTATTGTTTCCTGCTGTTTCTCTCAGGAGCTCGAATTTACGTTGTGGCCATAAATAAAATCCATTGGGTGGTTCTGAATCTTGCTGTTGTGATGAGAGGATGGGTCCTGCTGGGTGTTTGGCCCTAGCACAATCTCTAGTGTGCAACCCTGAAATTCACTTTACATCTTTCTGCTAGGTGAGGGAGTGTTCCGGTTTGGAGTCTAAAGTACTGGCTGGACAGTGCACATCAGTCTGGGTAATTCAGAAAGGACACAGGAGAAGCAAATATGAATGACATGGCTTCATGCACGTGGAACAGGATCTGTGGGTGGTCAAGACTATACATAAAAGTGGGATCTATGGGGAAAGGGTAGCATGGGACCAGAGTTATGTATAAGTGTGTCAGCTGTTCCTGTTTCTATGAAACAGCAGCGTGTGAGAGGCCGGATCCATGAAAAAAGTCCCATTGCTTTCAGTAGAAACAGGAATCAGGCCCTTGAGGAGGATTGGGATGCTTAGCTTTCCAAGGGAATGTGGCTGTCCCCAGGATGAGCATAAAGCTCTGTTGTCCATCCATGATCCACCCTCCAACTTTATTTCAAAGCACTACTCCCTAAGATCATGCCTCAGGCCCTCACACAAAACTCTGCTGCTGGTGCATATGACACTGACCCTATCTTCTCTCCTGGTTTCAGGTTGAACTTGTCAGAAGTTTCCATGTGGAGTCTCTTCCCTGAGGCAGCTGCAGCGGATGACTGGATGATTGGCTGCTGGTTCAATGATCAGGAGATTCACTGAGATGACCTAGTGAAGGGGACGGGACAATGTTGCAGAAGAAGATCTGCCCCCAGTTACTTGACTACCTTGTGATCGTTGGGGCCAGGTAACCTAATAGCCTCCCAGCTATGGTTTTGCTAGTGGTGGGAGGGGACGGTAGACTTGGCACCCCCTAGCTGTTCTCTCATTAAGTGCCAAGCAAATACTGTTCAGAATATATATAGAACACTACAATGTGTAGAATGTGCAATTTTGAAATGTACCCTATGAGAAAATTATTAATATAGGCTAGATCTCTGGCTTACCCTTGAGAAAGAGATTTATTATCCAGAAACCCCAGAAATTATTAATGATCCATAACAAAATCAAATCAGCTGGTGTTGCAATTCTAGTGTTTAGTCCTTTCACTAATACTCATTTATGTAAGTTCTTGGGCTGCTCTCTCTGTCCTTATATGAAGAATCAAGAATGACTTTTAAAATGTTTTTTTATTAACTACCAGTAAAATACAAGGGTTAACATACTCATTCAATAGTCAATTAATACTGAGTGCTTATCAAATACAGAATTGATTCTTACAGTATTTGTCAAGTAGCATTTGTTGCTGATCAAGGCTTATTTAGAACTTTTTTATTTATTCAGTAGCTATTTCCTGCATCTTTTTACAATACTTCATTCATGGGTGTATTCCTAAATGGATTAAACTTCCATTTCAAATGCGAATGACTTATACATGTTATAGCATGTTTCCTTTTCATGAGAAGACCTTGACAAAACTATGTTGACTAAACAGGGAAATAACGTATTTGTTATTGGTAGATGATGATTTTTATTGGCTTACAAGGCCAGCTGGACTTATTTTAGAAAGAAGTCTGTGGCCAGAGTAATTTGTCAACTGTACTTAATTTTATTTCTTGACTTCTCTGTAAGAAATATCAGTCCTCTCCAGATATAGGTGTCTGACTGTTTATTGAGAGAGGAGGAGAAAATATTTAATATATGTTAGTTTCTTTTAATAAACTTTATTAACTGGAAACAAGGAAGAAACAGCACTCTCTGACCAGAGAGCGCTCTAAGGGTCACCAGTGGTCCGTGGGAGAACAGTATGGGAATTACTCTAGTAAACATTTATATGTTAACCAGTTTTTGCAATTTAGAGACTGTAAAGTGTAAATTCCACTTTAAAATTTTAAACATAGAAAAATACATCTCTGTTTACTAAAACTTATCTTTTTAAATTTACAGGATGAAATCCTGACTCCATTGAAGTCAATGGGAATTTTGCCATTGGTTTTAGTGGAGCCAGGATTTCACCTGTGTCCTTTAAGATTATCAAAAGCAAAAATATAGTACTGTGCTTTATCTAATAAGGGAACAAAAGTTCTTTTTTCTGTGTACGTTAGGATCGTTTGTTCGGTTGGCCTTGTACATGAACAAAATGCTTATAATGTACTTTTTATCTTTAAAAGAAAACTAGCAGTGTTTGCTTTCTCACTGTTTCCCTTTATTGTTAGGAGAATTTTAAATGTTGTTCCCTCTTTGCTTTCTATATACCCTTTAGTTTGTGGGTCTTGTACACTTCCATTGCAGTTTTATTAAAGTTTATACATTATATATCAATTCAAAGAGTTCCATTATGCATGATTTTATTATGTTTCTGCCACGGCAGCTCCCTAGTCATGCTCTCAAAAGAGTGGTTTTCTCCCCCCATGGGAACTGCTGGGCCAGTCTCTGTCTGAGTTCTCCTCTGCAGCCAGAGCCCACTTTGCATGCCCTGGTAGGATATCATGATAATTTGAGGCTTCTAAACTTTCTCTTGCAGTATGTCGTCGTCATAGGTCAGAGTGATTTGTAGGTGACCTGTGGCAGGTGGAACACATGGGACATAGGTTAGCACGACAGTGATGGGGAGTCTCACTCAGTTTAGAGTCAGTTTAAAGCAATTCGCCATTGCTGTGGTGAAGGTGCCTTGTCCAGTTCTACAGAGCTGCTTCTAAGGACTGACAGTTTGGTAAATTCCTGTTGCCACTGGTTGGGATCTGTTTCCACTTTTTCTGGTTGAATTTTCCATATATTTCTCAGGTAAAAACGACCTGCATTTGGACCAAGCTGGCTGAGTTTATGCTCGCAGGGCCAAGTCTGGAGGAGAAAAAAATCAGTGTCTTCTCTGGCTAAGTGTCACCCAGAGATGTATATAGTTGGTTGCATTTTATAAATCAAAATCAGGGAAACTTCCCTTCTCAAGAGGATGCTCTCCCACAGTGACGCACCCATGGATCTCTTCCTCTTACTAACCCTCGGGGATGTCCGCTCCCCCTTGCACCTCAGTATTGACATTATAGACCATTCTTTCCTTTCCTATGAT